AGGAGGCAAAGAGGAAGCACCGGCCAGTCCACTTCGCTAATAATAACCATCGTTTAATTAAACAAGTCCCCTTCTCCAATGGCCTGTCGCATTCGATGGCTTAGCCTATACGACACCATTTTACGAGGGGGACCATGCTTGAGTCAGCAACACCTCTCTCTTGTTTTTTGGCCTCGGATTTGTAAAAGAAACGTCAAGAAGTTTGATTCAGGGGAAAGTTTGGAAACTTTTCTGTTTGTTTTTTTTTTTATATATATATTTTAAAATTATTTTAATAAATTTATATAAAAAATAAAAAATATTATTTTAATACGTTTAATAATTAACACTTCTCTTGTTATTTGGCCTCGGATCTGTAGAGGAACACGAAGAAATTTGATTAAGGGAAAGTTAGAAAAGTTTTCTAAAGAATTTGTTTATTTTTGTGTTTAAAAGAAATATTTTTATTTTAAATTAATAATTTTTTATGCTTTTATATTGTTTTAGTATATTAGTATCAAAAATAAATTTTAAAAAATAAAAAATATTACTTTAATATATTTTTAAATAAAAAATATTAAAAAAAAGGAAAAAGGAGGGTTGGAGAGAGAGAAATTTGAAAAGCAATAAGAAATAAAAAAGAAAAAAGAAAAAAGAAAAAAAGGCATGCATCACCATGAAAGCATGCTAGCGTCGGTCCCTGATCCAAGGTCACAAAGAGAGACTGCTAATATATTGTAAATCAAAACAATTAATTTATTAACATCATTTTATTTTAAATTTCATTATAATTTCTTAATTTAGTAGGGCAATTAATAATTATAATAACTATCAATGAAAATGATTAGTTGTAATCAATTTAAATTTTCTTAACTTAATAGGTTGATTTATAATAATGAAAAAAAAAGAAAGAAAAAAATGATGTTAGTAAACCATTTGTTTTGATAACTAAGAATTAATAAAATAAAAAATAAATAAAATATTATATATAGAAAGAGAGGGGGGGTTGTGTTCTTCCCATAGTATAACCCACCAATGTATAATTATTAAATTTAGCATAGTGTAGGTTTGGATTGAAAAATTAATATGAGTTAATTCAAGTTAATGATAATAATTTTTTGAATTTTTTATTTTAAAAATGATATCATTTTGTTAAAAAAATAAAAATAAAAAAATAAAAATTTTAAAATTAAAGAATTGCTTGGGTTTAAGAGGACCAATAACTCATTTGAGAATATATTTGGTAATGTGGTTAGCTGTGTTTTTATTAAAATTTAATTTTTTATTATAATTTTAGATTGTTTTAATACATTAGTGTTAAAAATAAATTTAAAAAATAAAAATAATATTTTAATATTTTTTTAAATAAAAAATAGTTTTAAAAAAATATCAACCACGATTCTAAACTCTACCTAGGTTTTATACCCCATCATGGAAACTATCATATTCTGTTTCTTGGGAAAAAGAAATTCAAACTTCCTAGCACGTGGATGGTAGCATAAACTTATGCAGGATCTCTATATGAAATTCAATTTCATATAGAGATGTAGTGTCAAATATAAATTTTTAAAAATAAAAATTAATAGATTTTTTTTTTTATGGAGTCAACAACATTGCTTGGCCTTATATTTGTAGAAGAAACGAGAAAAAAATAATTAAGGGAAAGTTAGAAAAGGTTTCCTGATAATTCGTTTATTTTCGTGTTTTAAAAAAGTTATCATTTTTATTTTAAATTAATTTTTTTAATATTTTAAAATTATTTTGATATATAGATATTAAAAATATTATTTTAATAAATTTTTAAATAAAAAAGAACTGCTACAATTTACTGTTTAAAATCTGTAATTTCCAACTCCTCTGCAAATATCTGCATTCAATCAATGTGGGGAATTAATCTAGACCGTAATCATAGGTTAAGCACACGAGGATCTTAATAAAATTAAGAATTAATTATTCACCTGTTGACTAAGCAACAAATTTGTAGGCCTGAGATCTCTTGGAATGACTCACACCATGCGACGTGACAGTGAAAGAAAATGGTGATGTTTTTTTTTTAGCTGGAATTGAGATGGGTTAAAAAAAATAATGAAAAAAAAAACTTTGGTATAATCTGTGACTCGATAAATTTAATTAAAAATTTAATTTGTAATTTGGTTAAAATTTTGGTTATAATTTATTGATTTTTATTTTGTTTTTACTAAAATATCAAATATTATTAATTTTATTTAAAAAATTAATTCTAGTTAAAATTTAAAATTCAGATAGCGGAGTATGAAAACTTTGTATTAAAGTACAAAAAAAAAAAAAGGAGAGAGAGAGATTTGAAAAGCAAATTGAAAAAAGAAAGAAAAAGAAAGGTATGAATCACCATAAAAACATGCTAGTGTCGGTCCTTGATCCGAGGTCACAAAGAGAGACTATTAATATATATACATAGGAGGTGGTCATAATAAACAAAAATAAAATTATAAAAACACAATAAAACAAATCAATATAATACAAGAATAATTCTAAACTTAAACTCAATAAACATAGCATATGCTGAAAATTGATTTCGTTTTACAACTCCATAGTTTTTTAGAGGGATAATTATTAAAATCCCATCATAAATTATATATTTTTTTATATCTATAAAACTTTAAAATACGAATTTCATACCACAAAACATAAAATCTAACTTTGTGTTAGTCCATTTAGGTTTTTCTATATATATATATATTAGCTTTGTAAATGCAAAAAAAAAAAAAAAATCAATGGTTTGGATGGAAATTCTTTTATAAGACTTTACATTATTATGATTGGTTTAGAGGAAAACATTTTTCTAGCCAAAGATGATAAATTACTATTCTGCTTAGAGCCATACAACGAATTTTTTCTGCAATGTTGTTAAAATTAAGTCAAGTTTAATAAGTCAGCATTGTGATCTTTCAACTTTATTGGTGCTGACTTATTCAAGTTTAATGCTGGATTTATTCAAGTTTCAAAGCAAAATTTATTCGTGCTCACTAGATATGAAACAACCGACTTGGTAGGTGAACTTGCAAATAAATTGATTTGATAAAAATTCAATATATATTTTTTTAAATATTTTTAAAATAATATTGATTTAACATTTTTATAACAAAAAAATCTAAAAAAAATTATATCTTCTAGTGTTATGATTAAATCAGATAAATTCACTCAACCCTTGTCTTATATCTTATTTCTAATCAAGTTTAACATCTTATGTTTATCTCTGATCAAGTTTAATTATTTTAATTTATAAAAACCATATCAAATACTCTGATAAATAAGAAAAGTCAACACATTATAAAGGTGCACACAACTTCCTTCAAGCTTTGATGATAATATTTATTGGTGTTGTTGAATATTTATTTATGTATGTGTTTTATGTTAATATTAAAAAATGTATATATTATATTGTATTAAAAAAATCTAAATATTATATAAATATTTTTATATAAATATAAATATATATATTTTAGGTTAGATTCAGATAAATTTCAAATCAGATTTAACAATATTCATACTTTAATTATCATTTAATAAGTTTAAAAAATACCCATCCACCTGTGTTTATATCTATTTAACTCGAATTAAATTGTCATTCTTAAATAAAAAAAGCTTTTTTTTTTATTTCAATTCTAGTTTCTTTGTTTTTAATTATTTGAAAAACAAAAAATTCAAATTATTTTTCTATAAAAATAAACACTAATCTAATGTTATGATATTTTTTTTAGGTAAGAGAACTCCACTCAATATTAATCAAGTCGAAGGGCTAATTTAATAAAAAAACTCAAAGGATTAAAAAAAAAAGAGAGCAAATAATGAATGAATAGTAGAATAAATAGTAAAACACCTAGCCTTTTGTTTTGGGTTTTTACTAATAATAATACTAATGATTAATATTTTCTGGGCTGTGGGCTGACAATGTTGGATCTCCGTCTAACTTAACATTCTCGCTACTGCCTTATCCTAACTGAGTTTGATTAGGGCTATAACAAATGCTGTTTTATGGTATTTATAACCAAAATTTTATTTTTTTTAATAATACCAGTATCATTTAAAATTTAAATTTATATCCCAAATGAAAGGGAAAAAAAATGAGAAGTTAGTAGTCACATTATAAAAAATAGAACAAAGCATATCAGTTGTGATTTTTTTTATTTATATTAACGGAGTACTATTTATTATTTGATATAAAATAAAATAGTAATATGTATATATACACATACACAAATTAGTTTTGAATAGAGTTTTGACCCAGGTTTAATAATATTCATATTTATCTATTTTTAATCTAGTAAAATAACTATTTAAAAAAAACCTATCAATTCATGTTGATAATGAAATAAAAAACTAAAAAAATTTAAAAACCATTTCATATGAGGATATCAAAATAATTTAAAAACACACATAAAATATTTAATTTGAAATAAAAAAAATAAAAAATTATTTTTTTAAAAAACTTTTAAAATGCAAAAATAAATAAACTCTATATAAATATAGAGTTTTGATGAATTTAAAATAATGATGCATTTTTAATTGCTTTCATTCTAACCCTAACTAATCCCTTGAGAATATAATTGAAATTATATTTTTTTATATTTTTAAATTATTTTGATGTAGTGGTGTTAAAAATAAAATTTTAAAATAAAAGTATTTTTAAAAATAATTATTATTTTACTCATAAATACTAAAAAAAATGGATAGAAGAAAAATGAGGTGGAGAGAGGGGAAGAAGTTTTGATTTAATTGATAAAATTTTAGGGTTTTGATTGAAAAAAAAAAAGATGAAAAGAGAGAAAGCAGGGAGAGAAGGGGAAAAAAATGAAAAAGAGCGAATTTATTATAATTTTTTAGTTATTTTATTTAATTTATAAAAAGAAGAAAAAGAGCGAATTTATTATAATTTTTTTAGTTATTTTATTTAATTTATAAAATACAAAGTGTAATTTTTTATTTTTTAAATCAAATTATAATAGATCCATGTAATTAATCCATTGTTTTTTCACGATGGAGGGAATTGTGCTCCAATAATACCTTATAGATTTTCATCCATCTATAATCCGAGAAAAAGTCTGTCCACTAAAAGAAGAAGAAGAAGTTAAATGCACAGTAAATAGAATCCGAATAACGAAGAAGAAAAAGGAGTAAAAGCCCTCTTCTCGATTCTCATCCAGCATCGAAAAGACCGAGCAAAGAGAAGAATGCCAGAGCTACCGGAGGTAGAGGCGGCGAGAAGGGCGATAGAGGAACATTGCATAGGGAAGAAGATAAAGAAGGCCATCATTGCCGACGACAGTAAAGTCATCGATGGAGTCTCTCCTTCTGATTTTGTGGCAGCACTTGTTGGAAAAACTATTGTCTCTGCTCACAGAAAGGGAAAGAACTTGTGGCTCCAACTTGACTCCCCTCCCTTCCCTTCCTTTCAGTTCGGTAATATACTACGTTCTTTTTACAGGGTTTCTGATTTCATGCACTTTAAAGCTGATTTCTTGAGGGCTTTTGTGACATGAGTTTTCTTTACTTGCTGTTTCTTAGGGTTTTAGGAAAGTGGGTTTATTTTATTTTTTAGTTATTTCAACGAAGTTTTTATTTGATATTTATGTGTGTAAACGATGCAAAGATATGTTTTTGTTTATATGTTCTCATTCCTTGAAAACCATAACAATTTCAGGTAAAAAGATTATGATTACCATTTCTTTGTTTTTCGTAATCCCATTGCCTTGCTTACTAAACATAAAGGATCACATTTCAGGGATGGCTGGTGCTGTGTATATTAAAGGAGTTGCGGTTACCAAATATAAAAGGCGAGTTGTGTTCTGTAATATGCACATGCAACACTCCTAGCTTGCTGAGATAACTTATTTCTATCCTTGTGTTTTCGTCTTGTACAAATGATCTCTCGGTGTTGATTATATTTGAGAATTGCGTGCAGGTCTGCAGTAAATGACTCTGATGAGTGGCCTTCCAAATATTCAAAGTTTTTTGTCCAAGTATGAATCACTACGCTATATGTTTTAATATAGTTTCCACTTCTGTGCAAGTGTTTTATTGAATAAATAATTCATAATTCAGGCACGATCCATTTGGTTGTTAGTTTTGGAGTTCTATTGACTGTGGAATTGCAAACAAGTCTCTCAATTTATTCACTAACAGGGCAAGAAAAATCCAAAAGATTTCTAATTTGAACTTCTGGAATGAAGAGTTAGGGTAGTTCTATAAAATTATGAAAGGATGCATACTGTTTAGAAACCTACGAATGACACTTAGAAATTTTTGTATCTGTGATGAGGGCTCCTGCATTGAGTACTTTTTCTACTAGTTAATCAACATGCAATACTCTTTCTGCAGCTAGATGATGGTCTGGAGCTTTCTTTCACTGACAAGAGGCGATTTGCTAAAGTCCGCTTGCTTGAAGATGTACATAAATACCACTTGTTATTCTAGATGAACTTTTCATATTTATGTAATTTGGTAGGTATTTTGTTATTGTTTATAACAATATTCTTTTCTTCTTTCCTTGGTGCAGCCAGCTTCTAAGCCCCCAATATCTGAGTTGGGCCCTGATGCATTATTGGAGCCGATGACAGTTGATGAACTTCATGGATCCCTAAGCAAGAAGAAAATTGGAATCAAGGCTCTATTACTTGATCAGGTTAAAATTTATGTTGATTTGCTGTACTATTTCTAAGATAGTGTAAGAGACATAAAGGTGTAAATAAGCAAGTGAGGCATAGAGAGTGATTTAGGGGTAACTATTGGTCAAAAGTTTCAAAATGCATGGCTGACAATCCCCTTTCATTTTAATTTTTGAAAATAATATGAGTAACGAAGACAAGTAGTACTCATGGTATGTTTTACTTAATGATATTTAAAAGATTGGCGTGACCATTTAAGTGAAAGATGGCTCAAGATTAATAAGAAGCAATATTAGTGAAGAGAAAGGCTTTTCAACCACATTTAGGCCATCAAAAGTGGCAGTCATAATCTGATTGGTGTAGCCAATGCCAATAAGCATGGATATGGTTTTATGCTGACATTATGGTGGATGGTAGTTATCTCAGCTCCTGGCCTCTTGCAAATGGTAATTATCTCAGCTCCTGGCCTCTGCTAAATTCTTAAAGGATATGCCCAGGTTTCATAAGCTAAAAGTCTAGGAAATCAAAACATCCTGATCCTGTACTATTGTTCCTCCTACAGTTTCAGGAACACTTAATGGCTAGAAAACAATATGGTTGGCAAAGTACTGCTAAAAACTAATTGTTTAATAACTGCTAGGATTAATCACATACCTAGAATGATTGACAAGTTCTTTTACCCAAAAGAGGTTTTAAAGTCTCCTCCCATCATCACTTGTTATAGTTCTGGAGATGTAAATGGTCATGAAATGGTCAACATGATGATTTGTTGTAACCGAGTGCCTTTACAAGTTTTTTTTTAAATGATTATTTTTAGATCTAAAGTGCTGACATGGTTATAGTATTTCTGCATACGACTGTTCTTTCAAATGTGCATTTCAACACAAAATGAAATGTTTGTTTTAAAATTCTTTGTTAAATAGTCAATCTAATCGTGTTTATTTTTTGCAGAGTTTTGTATCTGGAATTGGTAACTGGATTGCAGATGAAGTGCTATACCAAGTTAGTGCACCTCACTTTAACATGGGTGCCAAATTACAGTTTGATTGAATTGTGTTCTGATTGAAGCACCATATTGTGATCAATAATCAAGCTTTTAACTTGGATACATGCACGATTGTTTTTTCTTAATTTGATGATGACATACCCTAGGCTCAGAGAATTTATAGTGTTGCTTTTTTAGCTTTTATTTGTCATGTTATTCAGAAAATTAATAAAGTGTTCTCATTTTCATGAATCAAAAGAATTTTGGAATTGTGGGTTTTTCAAAAGATGAATTTTTGCAAACTGATGATTGTTTAATTGGATGAGTGCATACAGCTAAAATATTAGTATAATGTATTCATTCTTAAGAAGTAGAGGGACAGCAATTGAGGGCCTACTTAAAATGGTTTATTTTGTTGCTGAAGACTGACTCACAATCGAGCTTAGGAGTGCTTGACTCAAATTAAATGTAGTGTAAAATGGGCTTTAACAGAAAGAACACAATGGCCTATATTATAATAGAGAATATTAGGCTTCTTCTGCTGGCCATATTTGTTTGTTGGGATCTGTAGTTACTGTATTTACTTGACATTCAACAATATCTTCATTTGATGACCTGACTGACTTTCCTTGTATCTCCTGCCTGATGTGGACTTTGATGATTGTTATTTTTCATGCACAGGCTAGAATTCATCCACTGCAGGTTGCTTCCAGCTTATCCAGAGAAAGTTCTGCAACTTTACACGAGTGCATCAAGGAGGTAGGAAATCTGTTTTGATTTGCAACTCTTGTAAGCAACCACTTAAACCTGATTTGTTAAACATGCAATTTTCATGGAGAAGTAGAGAAAAACATGTGTAGGTTGTTCAGTATGCGGTTGAAGTTGATGCTGACTGCGACCGCTTTCCTCTTGAATGGTTGTTTCATTTTCGATGGGGAAAGAAACCTGGAAAAGTTAATGGTAAGATACTTTTGATATATAGTAATCCTTTTGATAAAAAGAAAATTCTTTTTACAGGTGATTGAAAAAGCAGTAGAAGTTGGGGCAGATAGTAGTCAGTTCCCAAACAATTGGATTTTTCATTCTAGGGAAAAGAAGTCTAAGAAGACTTTCATTGATGGTTTGCTTCCCTACCCTCCACATTATTTCTTGTAGCTTGACATTTAGTTGATTGTCGCCCCTCTTCTAACAGTGGCTTCTTTTTCTCTATTCCATCATACACATATCACTACCTGCTGTTCGTGCGTGCCAAAGATATGAAAGATAGAAGTGACTTGGTTGAAGAGTTAAAATAACTTTTAGATCTGACATCCTGACTTCCAGTCCCTTTTGTTTTGATTCTCAAAGGCCTGCCTATCCTTTTCTTAAGTTGTTTTGATTTCCTTCACACGAACATTGATAAAACTTCTTCATTATGGCAGGGAAGGAGATTGATTTTATTGTTGCTGGTGGTAGGGTATGTCTTTTAAAAGCGAGCTTATGATATTTCTTTATTTGCTCTACTAAGCAGATGAATATGAGTGTCCATATTATCATGTGTATGCGCACTTTAACCATTGAAAAAATACGTAGTTGATTTTTATGGGCTTGTATTCTGGATTTTAGACAACGGCCTATGTACCGGGGTTACAGAAGCTAAATGGAAACCAAGCTGGGAAAGCAGTGGGAAAACCAAAAGCAAGAACTTCAAAGAAAAAAAGAGATGGGAATGATGATGACAATGACAACAATGAAGATGGTGGCAGTGAACCAGCTTCCGAGGAAGAAAAAATTGCAAGAAAGGCCAAATCAAAGAGAGAGTTGAGGCCTAAAAGTCCTGGGAAAAAGCCTTCAGCAAAAAGAAAATCCAAAGCAAGTGATACTGACAGTGAAGAAGATGAGGGTGCTGCCTCCCCCGCCGCTGACAACGATGACGATGATCAGAAGAAAAAACCTAGAAGAGTGACCAGTAGTAAACAAGTCATGGTAGGTAAAGCACCCAAGAAGTTGGTTAACAATCAAAATACCAACAAACCAAGGAAGAAAGTGAAGTAGATTGCTGTTGTGAGATATCTCATGGTGCTGCCGAAGCCTGAGCCCTAATTTTGGAAGTATAGAAATGTGGCAGGGCATCTAGTTTTTGCTTGTATTGACAGTGAAATGAATTTGTCTGTCTTGTTCAAGGTACCGTATCTCTGCTAATGCCAGCGGCTTACAACTAGGGCTCTCCGCCTTTGGAAGATGTAAATTTTATTTGAAGGGATTAAATGAAAGAATTTTTAAATTAGCATGACCTGTCTGTCTGGAGGAAACAAATTTGTGATTTTAAGAAATGCCTGCTCTTGAAAAAAAAAGAAAAAATAGGTAAATTTAGCAACCGCCGCAGCTCAGTTCCCTTAAAGCCTGTGGTTTGGCGTTGTAGTATTTATTTTTTTTAAAATTTTTAATTTAAAAATATATTAAAATAATATATATATTTTAAAATTTATTTTTTATATTATCACCATGAAAATAAATTTATAGTAGTTACTAAGAAAAAGAGATAAATTTAGCAATAGCTACAATTCAGTTGCTTTATGTTTGGTTTTGATTTTATATTTGATATTATGATAACAGAAAGTAACAGTTTATTTTTATTTAAAAATACTTGATATCAGCATCATAAAAAATTAAATTGATTTTTATTTAAAAATATTTAAGTTAATCTTCATTTAAAAATACTTGACATTAACATCACAAAAACAAATATTAATTACCTAGGAAAAGAATATGATTATGCTGGGTGTTAACCAGCAAAAGCATGCTAGGCAGGCAGGGTGTGGCACCACAATATCTTACTTCTACGTGAAATAATACTTAATGTATACACCTCAGTAGGAGATTATCACTAATTATAAATAATTATATTAAGATGACATCATTATAAATAATTTATTATTGGTAAGAAAAAAATGAATTGTCTTCAAAGCATGTCATGTGTTTAGTTGACTTTCTAGCTCAAAAACACAAGTAGGGTGAAACAAATATTATATATAATACTTTAGGGATTGATTTGCTTGCCTCACTAAACTATAGCAACTATTTTTGTAGTTAACTCGTTGTCATCCCCTCAAACTCAAACGAGGTGAAAGTAAAAACAAAACAAAATCCCTTTCAACTCAACCAAGCATTGGAGAAGACTGGCTTGTATTATACCAGATACCATCATCTCTACAAGAAAAGGGTGGTAGGGTTTCGCTGCTGAATCTGATCAAATGGGTATGCATATGCTGTAGAAAGTGGTGTGGAAATGATTGAGGTCGGTCTCTCTTCTTGTTTTAATTTGTTGGGTTCAAAGTCTGTTTTTTTTCTTCGTATTTAGTCTTATGCAACGTCTTGTCTTTTTTTGTTCTCTTGGGCCTGTTTGTCTATAATTCATCTCATAATTAACTGTATTTAGCTACAAACAATGATGGGATTTTCCAGTTTTGGAGAATTTTGAGATTATGTTTTAGTCTTCTTTCATTTTTTTCCCCTAATGCGTTTGGTGATTGGAGAAAGTGATGTAGTGAGTTCTTATGATAATAAAGTGAAAATCAAGTCTTGATTTTTTGAAAAGATGGAATTCTCCGTTGATACGAGAAAGTATAAGAATGGCCTCTTGCAACTAACTAACTCAAAGCCACTACACAAGAACAGAATTGTGGTTATCAGTTACGAGCGTTTTGGAATCCAGTCACAAGCTTGTTTAACATGAATAAATCCGCTACATTAATGATTTCCCTTAACATCATCTTCGAATATGACCTTAGGTGAGAGTTGCTCTTTTTAATGCTACAGCCTCTAGGAGTTCGGGATTAGTGGAGTGCATGGAATTAATTTATGGTGATGTAGGATAGAGAATTAAAAACTCAATTCATGGTGGTGTAACTGGGAATTAGAGTTAGGATTTGGCGTGGGCATAATTGTCAATACTTGGAATTAGTGATGAAAAGTCTGATTTGAGGAGTGTGTGAATTGAGATCTGAATGGTTGGAGGAGAAGGTAGAAGATTAAGTTAGAAAATAAGGTAAAAGAGCAAGGAGTAAACTCGGAACCAGCACCAAAATATGTTGCCAAATCTCTTAATTTTAGACTGGTCTCATAATGCTAGGCATTGCATCTGTATTTTTACTGATGACTAACACTGTATACGCTAGGGCTAGGACTTCTGTGCTGACTAATTTAATTAATTACTCTGCTTAGGGAAAAAGAGCTGAATGATAACGATTTAATAAAGAATAAGAAGCTGAAATTCAAATTAGAGGTGGATCTAAATACTAGTTAAAGACCTTCATTTTGCTAGGACTCCGGCATTAAACTGGGGTGTCCATGAATTACATTTCTGCCACTGTTCCCATAATCACCCATAACTTACAAGCCTTTGGGTGGTTTTTGCTTGGTCAAAATTGTTCCAGTTCTTCCGGATTGATTCATTTGGTGTGCACCTGAATCGCCTTTCACAGACCAGCACCATGTTCTAATTAAATAATGCTATATAAATACGCTGTTCTAGTTCATGTCAATCCTGATCATTTTGACAGAATGGTCACCCGCTTGTCCCTATTTGTTCAGCAAAGCTTTTTTGTTATGTTGTAAAGATGTTTGGCCTCTAAGTTAGTGTGCAAAGATGTCATTGCAAGTTTGATTTGAGTTCCAGATTGAACATTACCCACCTAACTACCAATTGAATGATTTTGGTACAAAATCATTCAATTTCTTTCAATGACAAAACTGCAAGGGACTTTGCTATTTGTTGCTTGCTTGTGCTAAAGTTAATGATATTGGTTGTTCATTTAACATTGCAGATAGAAGAAGGTTCGCAGAACAGTGAGCAGATACTTGAGGAAGAAGGTGATCATCTGGAATTTAATAGCAACGACCTTGAAATTGAGGGCGATAACCCTGGGATAGATGACAATGACCTTGGGATAGAAGACAACTTTGAACTAGAAGACAAAAACCTTGAGAATGAAGGACATGACCTGCATGAAGGCAATGACCTGGAGGACAATTGTGAACAACTGTTTGATATTGAATACCATGTCCTTGAAAACAACAGAGATGATGCTACAGTAGATGTTCAAAATGATGACTTCCTAGGGAAGGATTATCCACCTCCTTTTGTGGGGATGGAGTTTGAATCATATGATGATGCCTATAATTATTATAATTGCTATGCTAAGGATTTGGGATTTGCTATCAGGGTCAAGTCCTCATGGACAAAACGTAACAGCAAGGAGAAACGTGGTGCGGTGCTCTGCTGCAACTGTGAGGGTTTTAAGACTAGTAAAGAAGCGCACAGTCGTAGAAAGGAAACGAGAACTGGTTGTCTAGCCATGTTAAGGTTGAGGCTAGTGGAATCTAATAGGTGGAGGGTGGATGAAGTCAAGCTTGAGCACAACCACTTATTTGATCCTGAGAGAGCACAAAATTCGAAGTCCCACAAGAAGATGGACGCAGGGGCTAAAAGAAAGGTGGAGCCCACTGTTGATGTAGAAGTACGGACAATCAAATTGTATCGAACAGCTGCTGTAGACCCACTGGGCTATGGAAGCACTAACTCAAATGAAGGAGAAAGTAGCCAGCATGTTGACAGGTCGAAGCGCTTGAAGCTTAAAAAAGGAGATGCACAGATCATTCATAATTATTTTTGTCAGGTTCAGCTAACAAATCCAAACTTTTTCTATTTGATGGATCTCAATGATGAGGGGTTTTTGAGGAATGTGTTTTGGATAGATTATAGGTCTAGGGCTGCATATGGTTATTTCAGTGACGTAGTTATATTTGATACAACATGCTTATTGAACAAATATGAAATTCCACTCTTTGCATTTGTTGGGGTAAATCAGCATGGGCGGTCTATTCTACTTGGTTGTGGGTTGCTTGTGGATGAGACATTTGAAACATATATATGGCTGTTTAGAGCATGGCTTACATGCATGTTGGGTCGCCCTCCGCAAACTATCATTACTGACCAATGCAAGGCCATGCAAAGTGCAATTGCGGAGGTTTTCCCACGTGCTCACCATCGATTTTGTTTGTCACATGTTGTGCTCAAGATTCTTGATAATTTGGGCACGGTGCAGGACTATGAAGGGTTTCAGAGGACACTGAACGTGACTATCCATGACTCTCTTAAGGTAGATGAATTTGAAATGGCTTGGGAAGATATGATCCAGCGTTTTGGAATTGCAGATAATGAGTGGCTTCGAACATGCTATGAAGATCGAGAGAGATGGGTCCCTGTTTACTCCAAAGATACTTGTTTTGCTGGAATATCTACTTTTCTAAAAGATGAGTCCACCCAATTCTTCAATGATTATGTGAATCAACAAACTACGTTGAAAGAGTTTTTTGACATGAATGAACTAGTTCTACAAAAGAAGTACCAGAAAGAAGCTCTTGATGATTTTGAGTCGAGGAATTCCAGCCCCATTTTGAGGACAGGTAGCTTTTATGAGCTACAGCTTTCCAAAATGTATACAAACGAAATATTCAGGAGATTTCAAGATGAGGTTGTGATGATGTCCTCTTGTTTTGGCATAACTCAAGTTCATGCCAATGGGCCTCTTGTTACTTACGTGATCAAAGAACGCCAGGGTGAAGAAAATTCGAGGGATATTAAGAACTTCGAGGTTATGTATGATAAAAGGGGAGCAGAAGTTCGATGTATCTGTAGTTGCTTCAACTTCAAAGGTTACTTGTGCCGGCATGCATTGTGCATTCTGAATTACAACGGGGTGGAGGAGATCCCTCCGCTGTATATCTTGGCACGGTGGAGGAAGGATTTGAAGCGCTTTTATGTACTGGATAGTGGATCCAATAATGTAGATATTGCTAACCCAGTTCAGTGGTTTGATCATTTGTACAGACGAGCAATGCAAGTTGTTGAAGAAGGTATGATTTCTCAAGATCGATACATGGTTGCTTGGCAAGCATTTAAAGAATCACTGAATAAGGTCCGTCTTGTAGCCGAGAAGCATTTATAATGTATAATCTTTGTGGTGTTTCCTCACTTCTGCTGTGGCATGCTCTTAAATGTGTGTTTTGGCAGTGCATGCAGATAGTATTTTCCCCTAGTTAGAGCATATGCTGCGGCAGAAATTCCAGTAAAAAAAATAGGAAAATGTCTTTAGTAAGGCAAATGCTTTGACATTAATTAAGCAAGGAACAATTGGACAATGGAACATCCTTCTTTGATGTTTTTCTTTCTCTTAGTTAAATCTTAAGAACATCAAATTTTATATGCTTAAACAGATGAGATGTAAGAAA